TAGGTTTTAAAGGTCTCAAAGGAGTGCAAATTTTCAGTTCCGTCTTCAAAGTTTACCGGTACTGCATTTGTAACATTTTTAACATTAAGGTTTTGTTTTTGTGGTTTTTGCGATGGTGTTCGTTTATTTCTTTTTTGGCGATTTTAGCAAAGAATTTATTCCTATAATTTTTGGTTTCTTCGTTTGTAATAATGATTGCATATTCATGCTTATTATTAACGTTCTCTGATTATCATAATTAATGGCCATCATAGTTGCTGTCTTTAATGATTGATAATTAATAATTTAGAAAAATCACTAAAATTAAAATAACTGAAATTATAAAAAATTATCAGCCTAGTCCTAATGATTACAATTATTAATAGATTGTTTTTTATAATTTTATCAACAGTTTTTTACTTGTTTATCATTAATTCTTGAGTGCGGAGTGTGACGTTTTGATTTTTTTATTGATTTTTTTAAAATTTTTGTGAAATTTTACGAACTTTGTAATTTCAGCGTTACTGCAGACTCTTTTGAAAGCGAGAATTTGAGTATTTTATTGCAACCAATGTTGTACATCCTGCACGAATGTCTCGCTACCTGGCTTCTTAAAGGCAAACTGAGCGACTTCGAATTTGAAGTAAGTTTTTTGCTTTCAAAAAGATTGCTTTTACAAATTAATAAAAACCGTACTAATCTTCGCCTGCAGCCGCAAATTTTGGCTAATATTTCTAGCTGAAATGCTTTAGGGTGGTGGAACCTAGCCATCGAATTCAAGCTTTAGAGTGCACCAAACCACACACCAAAATCCACCACGCCAACCGTGCACCCCTTTACATGCAGACACACTCATACACACACACACACATACACTCACACACACACACACATACATTCATACACATACACTCATAAACACTCACACACACACACACACACACACATACACACATGCACATAAATAACACTTCGAAGCTGCGCCATGCCAGGTTGCTTTGACCAGTGCTGCATAGCGTGCTGGTGATCCCGGCATTTTATATCAAATTTAGAATTGGAGATTTTGTAACACATTTTGTCACATTTTGCCACATTTTGTCAATTGGGAAGCTGTTTATTAACACATTGTTTCATTGTGCATTTCTTTTTTTTGAAAAATTACCGCGCGAAAGCTTTTTTTTTCGAATGTGTTTTCAAAAAAGTCATTTAGTGGATGATTGAGAAAGTAGCAGATCAGTGGTATGAAAACAGCTGGAAGGACGAGTACAGAATTGTGAGCACATCAATCCCAGCTGTATTGGAATTGTCCGAAAAAATTGTGGAAAAGGTAATTTTTAAGACAGTTTTTCTACTAATGGTCTGTTTGTTTTATTCCACTCTCGCCAGTTAATAAAAAATATTTTAATGTTGGAAGAAAAAAAATTAATTTAGGGATTTTTTATTTTAAATTTATTTTTTTAAAATTTATTTTCATTTATTCTTTTAATAATCTATTTAATCTGTTTAATAAAATTTAATGAATTTTAAATTTAAAGGAAATTAATTAAAAAATCAATAAAACTTGGAAAATATTCGAAAATGTGGTAAGAAATGTTTCGGTCCATTAAGTCGTATACATTTCTTACCATTACCACAATTGGACCTCGTCAGTACGACGATTGATATCTCGTCTAGTTTCAATAACTACTTTCTCGTCTTTTTCCATGTGGCTGATCTTTTCATGCAGAGTGAACGCAGGAAAGATTTTGACTTTCAACTTTGCTTTTTTGGCGATGTTGTCTGCTGATTAGTAGGCCATGGTGTCTATATATGAAGCGCTTTGGGCAGCTTTTGCAAAACCGTTAGTCTAGAGCTCTCAGTGCTGCTATAATACAGTCACGAGCTGCATACTGTTTTAACAGAGCCTCTGTTTTTCCTGAATAACTTCTTCTGCAACTCTTGGATGGTGAGGATGCTGGATTCTTCAAATTAAATTTTAGTAAATTTTTACTGATATTGCTTTTGCTTTTAATTTCATGTTTTTTCATTTTTAATTTATGCCTAATTTTTAATTTGTTCTCAATTTTTAATAATTTTTAATTTATGCTCAATTTTTTTATTAAAATTTAAATTTGAGAAAATTATTACAAATATCCTTCGAGAAATTGCCAAAAATTAAAAAAAAGAGTGCGCTTCACACAAATATTCTGAGTCATAACCTTGAAATTTGTTAAAGTTTTCATGCAGCCATTAAAATGCCGCTGACTGGCTATTTTACTTGCCTTGCTGGTAGCCAGTGGACGTATTAGTTAGTGGTACGTACGAGAAATAGACAAATCTGATAGTCTCCGGACAGGTGGTACACACAAATAGAACAGGTACTGACTGAAATATCCAGCCCAAGATAGAAAAATCTGGCATAATTGTACCTGTCGTGCGCGACTTTCTACTAGTATTGCCTCATGGAGTTTCTCACATCTTTATCGAGACATTTTTAGTAATGCTTGTATTTTTATGTACATTTTACAATGAAATCAAAATTTTTACTGAAATTGCTTTTGTTTTTAATTTCATGTTTTTTTAACTTTTAATTTATGCTTAATTTTTAATTTGTTCTCAATTTTTAATAATTTTTAATTTGTGCTCAATTTTTTTATTAAAATTTAAATTTGCTTGTGCTTAATTTACGCTTAATTAAAAATTTAGTTAATTTGCGCTTTAATTTCAATGAAATTAAATTACACTGAAACTGAAATGACATCAAAATGGTATTGCTTTTATTTTTCAGAGAAGAAAGTCTTTTTTTTTTTTGAGTTGCGGTCCTAGGATCTCTCCCCAATCTGCCTTTTGCACTGTTCAAAAATTCTGTGCATTTTTCGTCATTCAGATTCTTTTCATTGGGAAGACTGTTAATTTGCTGTCCACGCTGGGCTTGGAAAACGATTGTCGAGATGAGATGAAGCGGATTTTTTCATCAGTTGATTCATCAAAGTGTTATTTGGATATTTTGCATTTCGATGAATTGCGCTGTGCGGTTGACAAGTATGTCTTTTGTTTTTTGTATTCTTATTCACCACTGTAAACATATTCGAAATTTTTATGTGATATTCTTTTGCATTTTTGATGCAACATATTGTGTTAGGAATATCGCGTAATGGCAGGTAGTACTACTGTCTTGGAGGAGTTCGAGCTTTCGACTTTGCCAGTAGGATAGTAGCGCATGCCGGGGATTCAACCTCATAATCAGTTTGCTTCTAAGCAACTCTCGAATGCGGAAAGCATCGAGCTTGCGATTACCTTTGGCATTTGCTGCACCTGCCCTTCTCAGTGCCTCCGAACCCATACGATACAGATGCTGCAGCGAAGGGTTTGACTTTTTAAATTTATAATTTTCCTAGGAATTTTCACATTTGTAATTTTCTTAGGAATAGGAATTTGAAAATTCCTGAGAATAGGAATTTCCTAGGAATTTTCACATTTATAATTTTCCTAGAAGAGTTTGACTTTTCACATTTATAAGTTATAAATGCGCAACTTATAAATGAGCGCTACTTATAAGTGAGTTAAATGAGTTATAAATGAGTTTTATAAGTTTGACTTTCATCCGTACCGACTGACCCTCCATTCGTACAACTGGCAGCTTTCCCTTGCACAGCTCATTGTCCCGCGTCCGGCATTCCTGGTGTTGATTTCGCCTCGACATAACTACTTAACAAGGCTTTAGCCATACAAAGCTTTTGCCATTGATGTTTGGCATCACTTTACCGCAGGATTTTACTGTATATAAAATGAAATTGTTGCTATCGAATTTGGATACAGTTTTTTTTCCAAAATTAGTCTTGCACTTTTTTCTTATTTTGAATATTTTCGCTGAAAAATTCACTATTTTTTGATATTCTGATTTTTTTTTTCATTGCGAATTTATGAATGTTCGTTTTAGACTGCTCGTCTGTGCCAAAGATCTGATCGCCCGCAAAATTATCAAGAAATATGGCGTGCTCGAGCACATCCGGACGGTTCAGGAGCTTTACCTGTTGGGCGATGAATGCTTTGCACATATCTTCTACGGCAAACTAAAGTTGGTTTGAACTACTAAGTACCGGGATGTAAAATTTGCCCGTAATATGCGATCACTGGGCCATCATAAACGTCTAAATCCTGTTTGGGCCAAGACTGGCATTTCCAATTTTTATCCATTTTGTCCTGTGTAGCAGCAGTACGAAACGCATATTGTCACGGGATTGTCTGTGTGTGCGTGTGTTTGTGAGTGAGTGAGTGATTGTGTGTGTGTGTGTGTGTGTGTGTGCGTGTGTGTGTTGTGTGTGTAGTGCGTTTTGTCCCGCACTTTCAACTCGGGAACCACAAAAGTTAGGCGGCTGAAATTTTAGTATAGTGTTCCCCACCAGGCAAATTTAAATTCAGTTTCCCCGTACTCGCGGGTAACATGTACGGCCCCGTAGAAGTTTTGGCAGGTAAAATCAGTATCTTGGTGCCGCGGAAGCCAGAAAGCTGAATTTTTATGGGTATGTCCCCTGGCGATCCATGAAACTCAAATCCAACCCTCCTGTACCCACAGGTAACACACTTGGCCCCGTAAAAGTTTTGGCGGGGAATTACCTCAGGAACTACGAAAGCTGGGAAACTGAAGTTCTGTGGATATGTCCTCTGCCCATTTCTCACCCAGAGAACTTAAATTCAACCCTCCTGTGCCCGCGGATAATACGTACGGCCTCTTAAAGGTTTTGGCGGGTAAAATCATTATCTCAGAAACCGCGGAGGCTAGGGAGTTGAAATTTTTCGGGTATACCTCTTGAACACGTGCAACCCAGAAAATTACAATTCACTTTCATCGTGCGCCTAGGTATCGCGTGCGGCTCCCTGAAAGTATTGACGGAAAATTATTTCGGAAACCGTCAAAGCTAGGAAGCTGAAATTTCAGGACGATATTTTCTACCGCTGCAGGTACCTCACAAACTCAAATTTAGCTCCCAAGAATGCAGGGTCTTACGTTAAACTACGTGAGAACTGTGATTTGAAAGTCGCTAGCTCGGAAGCGGAAAAACCACAAGGTTGGATTAGGAGGGATGTTCCTCATCCATGTTTTCATCAGGTGCCGGCACGTGGAATTTTCATTGGGAAATTCCTCACCGTAGGAGCTATGCAGCATATCTGTTTTTTAATGAATTTTTGAATCTTTCAGTACTATCAGGGTCCCAAAAATAGGTTAAAATGATCGTAGTAAATCCAGTAATTTTGAATAAGACTTGTACGTGGGTCAGCTTTTATTCATAACTGGTTGTCCAAGAGGCGTGCTACCGATTCTGACGTCCGTAAAAATCGCTAATTCAGCGGTTTTCCTGATAGATGCAGTAGACTTTGATATCTGTCCGGTACATTTTGTTCATCACCAGTTTTGTTTCGGACGTTATTATTCCTATATAAAGTTAAGTTACCTTGCTGAGGCTAAGGAGCTGAAATTTTATGGGTATGCCCCTTGACAGGGAGCAAAAAAAGTATCGTTAACTGATATTTGAACAGTCTCTTTTTCAGAGCAGAAGTTGGCGATTTAGGATTTTGCATATTGGATTCGTTGCGGACTTCTCGAGCATTCCAGTTAGCAGCGGAAGAGTACTGCTTTTGGCCGCAAGAAATAACGGAATTTATGAAAATTGACGCAACATGTGGTTTGATGGTGAAATACGAAAATGATGACATATCCTGTCTGATCCCTAGTCCACGTGATCCGGACAGCAGCCCAACAATTCACCTATTGTACAAGACAGAAGTTCCCATTTCGATTATCTTGAATTGCGAGTACGTTTTCGTAATCTCCCTAATTTTTAATGCGTTTTGTACTATGCAACAGCTGCACAAATCGCAAATTGTCACGTAGCTGTTTGTTTGTTTGTGTGTGTGTGTGTGTGTGTGCATGTGTGTGTGTGTGTCCGCAACAACTTGTCCGCAAATTTCAACTCGGAAACCACAAAAGCTAGGAAGCTGAAAATTTAGGGTAATGTTCCCCACCCACTTATGGCCCCGCAAATTTAAATTCAGTTACCCCGTATCCGCGGGTAACGCGTAAGGCGCTGTGGAAGTTTTGGTGGGGAAAGTTATTATCTCGGGAACCACGTAGGCTAGGAAGTTGACATTTCGTGGACATGTCTCCTGCCCACTCGTCACATAGAAAATTTAAACTCAGCCTTCCCCTGCGCATGGGTAACACGTACAGCCCCGTAAAATTTTTTGCAACTAAAATTGTTACGGAAACCACGAAAGTTGGGAATCTCAAATTTTAGGGCGATGTCCCTTACCGGCGTACGACCCCCACAGATTTAGATTCAGCCTTATTACACTTTTGGGTGCCACGTACGGCCCCGTGGAAGTTTTTTTAAGGAAGTTGTATCTCGTGAACTACCAAAGCTCGAAAGCTGAAATTTTAGCATGGCATCCCCTGTCTCCCTATAACTGCACAAATTTTCAACGTCGTCATGGGAGTTTTGGCGAGAAAAATCATTATCTTTGAAGCCAGAAGAGTCAGAAGGTTGAAAATTTCAGGAGAATATTTCCTGCCTAAGTACGGGCTTCACAAACTCGAATTCAGTTTCTGAGTATGCCGATGTCTCACATAGGAGTATGTATAAGTTTTGTCTCAAAGACCGAGAGCCAGAAAATTAGGAGACTGAAATTTTGAAAGGATATTCACCCTTTTAGGTTTCAAATTCGGCTTTCGCGTATCGGTGCGTGAAATTTTTAGTAGGAAATTCCGCAAATTGGACAACAGACAACATTTCAACCATTTTTGTACAGAACAAAGTGCAAAGCAGTTAAAATCATTAACAGGCAATCGTTCGGCGGATAGAATTGCACGGAACGCATGGTCGCATCGGTTGTTCTGACACGCGCTGTTCATGCTTTTTTGCACCCAAAATTTTTAAAATAATGCATGGCCTTCGATATTTACGGGTAAAGTTTATGCGCATTGTCATACAGTGTGGAATTAGAGAGGATAGGAAGCTGAAATTTTAGCAGTATAGTCCGTCTGTGTTTCCAAATATTTTCAGAAATCCTCACAGGAGGCTAAATGGGCAAAATGGTAAATAAATGGCAAATTACGACCACTATCTTTGTTATTTCATCGCAATTTTTGTTCTTTCCTTGATTGCCTTGATGAAAGCTGCTTCATTACTTGATGATTCACCCGCCTGTTACTGATCAGCGCATTTTCGTCATTCTTTGTTTTTCGATAAATTATTGTTAGCACCAGTGGGCCCCAATGCTATTTACGTCGTTTCAGCCCATCCACTAGCGATCTTAAGTGTTGTAGCGAGGTCCATAATTTACAGGAAGCAAAAAAAAGAATAATTTGGTGGGCAGAGCTTTTTGCTGATTTTGCCGGCAGCTTTTTCCATCAGTAAGTGGTGCCTGCAGGAAAGTAAACGACCATTCGGGGTGCCCCCCTCCCCTCCGTAGCCCTCCCGCGGAGGTGGCGCACAGGTATCGAGCAGGCGGTTGGTACAAATTGAAGGTGTCCACCCGAGGATCGAAGGTTCCTAGCTGCGTCCGGCATTCCAATGACATCACACAAACTGGGGGATATCCATGCTGATAGTGCGGGCGGTCTTGCTGTTAGGAAGGATGTTTCATCTAAAGTTTTTGTACAGCGGCTTTTTTTATTTTAAGCAGCGAAGGTGTTTTTACAGTGCTTTTAACCTGGCGCTTATAAGTTACAAACTTCGTGTTGTCTAAGATAGGAAGAAAATGAAGGAGAACCGGAAAAGTTGGAAAAATTAGCTTATTTTTATGTGAAATTTGAATAAACGGTATATTTTTAGTGCATTAAAACGATATCAAAAAGCATTCGCATTTATATGGCTGGTGACTTGCACGGATTTTGAGTTGACTGATGCTATGCATGAATTTTATTCGTTAAAAAAGGACTCCAAAACAGGTTTCGCATTCATTCATTAAATCAGTTTTGTACAGCTTTTAATTTGTTTTTTTTTTTTGAATTTTAATCGATCCTGGCGCATTCATGCGTTCCATCAACTTTTAAGCCTTGATTCATTTGCATCAATAGGCAATTAACTTAAATAGCTAGTTTTATTACTGTAGTTTCTTTTTTATTACTGCTATAACTTTTATTTATTAGTTTTAGTTTTAT